AGGACTCTGTATAAGGCAGTTTCAAACTGTAGCTGCAGGGACGTCATTATTCTAGAGAGCTTTACCTCCTGCCTCTTGAATGTGAAATGCTGCCTTGCATCTATGCTCAGGGAGTGTTCTGATCCTCTAGCACAGAGCAGCGGCTGAAATAGTTTCCTATATATTCTGTCCTCATAAATTCCTCCCTTGCTTCTTTCCCTCCCCCTCCACACACAAGTCCCAGAGCCTTCCTCTTCTCCCCTGCCTGAAGGACATTTATGAGGACCATCACGGGGGAAGCATCTGAGCCCTGTTCCTGCCTCCCCCTTCCCTCACTTGAGGGTCTCTGGTCCCCCTCCCTCACGTTCGCCTCCTGGGCCAAGCTCTGACATCTCTTGCCCAGTTTATGGGCCGTTGGGATTTTTCCAACAACCTGAAATGAATCTGGGAGGCCCCACAGGTAGAACAGCTTGTCTTGGAGCCATAAACCACGGCTGGTCTTTCATCTGCCATTGCTTATGTCACGAACGAGTGGGAGGACCAGGCAAAGGGAAGCTATAGCCCCTGAGCCATTCCAGATTTTCTTTTTTACAAGAAAGCGGGAAGAAAGGCCCTGAGAAACATGCTCCAACTTCGTGCCAAGCAAATTCATTTCAGCCTGGTAGGCTGTGCATGGAGACTTAATCTCTGGACCTTCCCTCTAGGAGTCAGATTTATGCTGCGTTTGTGTCTAAATGGCCTCCAGGGATGCTGACATTTGTTGTTGGAGACAGCAAGTGGTGTTCCTTTCATCTCCGCTGAGGGGTGTCAGCTTAAATTATGAGGGATCGCTCTGGCCTGCATCTGGGTGTGGGAGCCTCTGGCGAGGCAGAGGGGCCAGCCCTCCCTCTGCTCCCGCGACGTCTCTGCTGTTAGAAGGTTTCTCTTCATCTTCTGCTCTATGGTACTCCTGCTGGCCCAGTAAGAAACCTCCTGGCTCGTTTAGAACTTTCCTTTCTCTTGGACAAATCACTGAGTATATACTTTAGTCACTGCGTACTTGCATGGAGAAGTTGGCGTCAGAGCCAGGCAGCCCTCCGCTGCTGAGGGAGGAGGCAGGAGCCTGTGCTAACATCCCAGGAGTGGCCTGGAAAGTCCCCGAAAGAGTCAGAGGGCACTGCTGTGCTCATGTTCACCACCTGGCAGGCTGTAGCCAGCGATGGTCTGCACTCCCCTTGGCAGCTGGGTCGCGACATCTGTCTGCATTTTGGGAGATGCCCAGAGGCGCTCCGTTCCTCTGTCTTCAGACTCTCTCTTGCTCAGATCTGCCAAGACACCTGAAATTTCACAGTGGTGAATGTTTGGTTGGAGGCGTTTCCTGTTCCATGTCTGTACATTGCTGATGGTGCCAAAGGACACATCAGACTATGGCAATCACTAACTCCTCAGTGTGGAACAGTACTTCTTGCTCCAGACGCAGAGTCTGAAAGCCTGGAGCACAGGATATCTACGTTTTGACGGAGAACAGGTCAGGAGCGGTCCAGGGCAGGGGTCAGCACACTGTGGTATGCAGGCCAGGTCTGGCCAGGTGCCTGTTTGGGAAATGGTTTTATTGGAACCCAGCCATGCCTCTTCATCCTGTCTCTGCTACATTCATGCTACAATGGCAGAGTTGAGTGATTGCAATAGAGACCATACGACCTGCAAAGAATAAAATACTTTACTCCCTGGACTTTTACAGAAGAAGTTTGAAGATGCCTACTCTAGAGCATCTAGTGTTTCTTGGAAGGCAAAATGGGGCCCCTTAGGAGACAGAAGAGAAAGCCTGAACAGCAATAAGGAGGAATCAAAGGGAGAAAATGCAACACAAAAATGATAGAAACACTCCAGGGTCAGATCTTAATCTCACCCTCCCTCTCCTCCCATGTCTGCTCATCTTCCTTCTCCTCCTCTTCTGAAAACAAATGTTTTCATCTGTCCTCTCAGGGCTGTAGAGAAAATGAGTGAGCAGCTCCTTGTGATGCTCTTTACATCCACCAAGAATGGGCACCAAAGGCTGCCCTAGGAGATGGTTCTTTTTGCCCTGCCCCTGGCTGTTCCATGATGGGATCTTGGGAAATGCGCACGTGCCTTAGCAGGGGTGAGTCCAGAGTACACAGATGTCAGGGGCCCCAGCCAACCACTCCCGGGGCTCTGAACGAACTTCACCCATCACATCTTCCTTCTGGAACCAGCCCTGATCCCCTGTCCCTCTCTCTTCCTCCTCATAAGCACTCGCACACTCACTTTCTATAAAACCAACTCACAGTGCAAGCTAAGGTCATGTCTGCAAAGAGAGAGGAATGAATGCTCGCACTTACAACCATAACTCAGACTCCCATCAATGTGCAACTGTTAATAAGAGAAAACATGGATCTCAGATTAAAAGCATGTCCTTTGAAATGATGATGATGATTTACTACGTACGTATCATACTTAGACAGTGCTAAACCCTTTACATATATCATCTCATTTAATTCCAACAACAATCCATGGCTAATTCATTTCAATGTATGACAAAAACCACTGCAATGTTGTAAAGTAATTAGCCTCCAACTAATAAAAATAAATGGAAAAAAAAAAGAAACTAAAAAAAATACTAATAATAATTCCAACAACAACAGTGTCACTTTCTCCAATAAGAAAATTGAGTCTTGGGAATTTCTTGAGAATCACACATCATCACCGGCAAGGCCAGAATTGAAACCCAAGTTCCTGTGGCTCCAGAGCCCATGCTTGTGGGCACCGTGCCATCATGTTTTTCTGAATGGTGTCAGCATGTATGAGCCATTATCATGGAATCTAGCATTATTTTAGATTTTTCATTTTCAATAATTGCATCATCCTAGTCATCAATATGCATTTGCATCAAGTTATGTGACTATAAAAGAACCAGACTGACTCTGTAAGACGTTTGAAAATACCATTTTATGGACAAAACAGGTATAAGACATGTAGTTTCTGAAGGTGATAAAATTGCATTTTAAAATCAGTTCTGTGCTTTGGATTGCTCACTCATTTGTTCCAGACTCAGTAAGCTTGTAGTCATCTGCCTTGCAGGAGATCTGCACAATGCTTGGCATGGGGTGTCACTCACGTTGCCTCAGAAATAGTACCCAAAGCATCAGCAGTATCAGAGGAGCATCATTGGATCCCAAAGAATCCACTCAGAATTACTGGCTTCACAAAAGGCTGAGTTTTGGGAGTCTCCAAGCAGCAGGATGTAGGGCCCAGCGAGGATGAATCTGCACCATCAATGGCCTCCTTTTTTCTACCTTTTCTCTCCTTGTGGGATCTTAGTTCCCCAAGGCTTTTAGTTCTTACATGCTTGTTTTTTTCTTGAAAAAAAAAAAAAAAAAAACACCCTTCTAGAAAGATCCTAAAATTCCTTACATCTGACTTAGATCAGCTTACTGAATTCTCCCCTGGGAAAAGAAGCCCAAGAGTTGAAAAGGCCAGAGTGGCCAATCCTTGTCATGAGGAGTCTTCTCTAATCTCACCTTCATCCATCTTTTAGGTTTTATCATTTGTACTCTCATAGGGAGTGAGGCAGAGAGGAAAAGATGTCCTTCCAATGACACCTAATAAACGCCTCCTCTGTGCCTCTGTGTTAATTGCTTTGGGTATTCTTGTCTCCAGGGCAGGCTCAGTGTAGGGCATCCCTTACACAGGGTTGAACTTAAATGGAGCTGGATGGAGACCCAGGTCTGTCTATGTCAGACTCTGTTCAGCTACATTGCAAGGGTCATGCCATCAAGGAACTCAGAGGTTCCTCTTCCTTCACATGCAGACTGTATGTCTAAAAGTTCACAGAGGAAAGCATCTTAGCCATTCTCTTTCAGATGAAAATAAGGTTTTTTGGCTCTAGCAGAGCCAAAAAGTAGGATTAAACTAAGTCTAAACTCAAACATGGTATGCAAAAAAGCACCTTTCCAGAGGAGGTTGGCATGAAGAACTAGGATGTAGAGCTTATGCCCAGTGGGTCCCCTCATCCTGGATTTCTTGAAGGGGCCAGAAGGGGACTAGAATGAGGGGACTGGAGCCGAGGAAGCTCTGGGGACAAAGGTTTCTCCTGGATGAAAGAGGGCAGCTGAGCTGTGTAAGGACCCAGAGAGAAATGAAGGTCTTGTTAGGGTAATGTGACTACACACTGCCTGTGGCTTTTAATGCCAAAAGTAGGAAGGAATCTCTCTCACAGGAGTATTTCCTAGATCCTAGAAGCATCTTCTCAGAAGTGTGAAATCTGTGGGATGCAAAAGGTAGCCTGGGAATGAATGTCATATGTACTAGAGGCTTTATTTCCTTCAAGTTACTCCTTGTATTGATCACTGCTGATAAAGTTGAAATAAACACATAAATAGTTACTTTACTAGAGAATTATTTCTTTTATAGACATGCAGTTTTGACTAATTGCCTATTATCTGTCTCTGTACATAGTTTTATGTTGGTCTTCTGCGGCCTTTTAAACAGTATTGTTTTTTACCTCCTGGCAGTGGCTAGTATTGCAGACATAGTATCTAGAAGTTATATATAAATTATCCAGGTCAAGAAAACTACACAAACTATTAGTATACTAATAACCAGTGCTTACTGGGCATTTATTATATGCTTATCAGCCTTCTGAATGCCTTCTTGGTAGCCTCATTGAATCCTCAAATAACCTCAGTGAAGTGTACTCCTCTATCCCGATTTTACAGAGAAGGAAATTGATCCACAGAGAGTTAAGTCACTCAAGTCCACACAGCTGGTAAATGTGGAGCTCGGAGAATATCCCAGGAGGAAGTCCTGAGCTGTGATGGTGGACTTCCTGGTTCCTGTCTCCAAGTTTCAGAAGTTTTTCCTTAGCCCCTTCCTGGGGGCTTTGGGATCAATACCACACAGGTTGTTGCATTCATATTTTAAGTCATCCTCAGAACGTGGACCTGAGTGTCTTATTATGCAATAACATACAACTCCAGGTAGCAGCCTCGAGGGACTCAACACGTTACTTCTGCTTCTTTCAGGGAAAAGTGATGATGAGGAAAGTCTTTGCAAGTCAGCCCACGGGGCAGGGAAAGGAGCCTCTGAGGACAGCAAGGACCATAAGCGCCCCAAACGTCCCAGAACCATCCTGACAACCCAACAGAGGAGAGCATTCAAGGCCTCGTTTGAAGTATCCTCCAAGCCGTGCAGGAAGGTACAGAGGGGAAGAAGGGAAGAAGGGGGATAAGGCCCCTCTTCTCTGCGTGTGCCCTGGACTCCTTTGGGGTGTCGATGGGCACCAGGGTGGGGAGTGCTGTTCAGACAGTCTGGGCGGGTGGCCCTGAGCCCCATTGGAGGCTCCAGGGAACACTGTAGCTGTGGCTGGGGCAGTGGTAGAGTCTCCTTCTGCTTTTCGGCAGGCACCATTCCAACTGGCTACTTCCTCTTACCTTTCATTTCATGGAGAGCAATGAGGAGAATAATAAGGGGTTCAGTTGGGGTATAGGTCAAAATGTTACAAGAGAGGAAAAATACAGTGGGTTGTAGCACATGTTCTTTTTTTGGCCCAGTTTGTTCTGCTTAAGGTGGTGATTTTGGCATTCATCCATGTTGCAGTTCACCCATTTTTGTTGTTGCATGGTATTCCGTGGGTATACCATAGGTTGCTTGTCCATTTATCTGTTGATGGGCATGTGGATTGTTTCCAGTTTGGGGCTGTTACAGATAAGGCTGCTGGGAACAGATATGTAAAAAAATACAGTGACTTAATGAGACAAGAGTTCATGTTGCTCTCACATCCTAGTCCAGAGGTGAGCAACACAAGATTGGCCGAGAAACTGTCTCATCACATGGGTCTAAGGGACTGCTCCAGATGTCACCATTTTTTGTAGCTACCATGGTGGAAAAAGAGGGAGTAGGGCAGAGGGTGGGGGCAAGCAGTTGCTTTTTACAGGGCATACACACCCTGGGATTTTTTGCATCACTCTCACGTGTTGGCTAGAATTTAATCCCGTGATTACAAAGGGACCTTGGAAATGAGTCCATCTGGGTATTCATATAAATTCCTAAAACTTAGGAATTCAGTTGCTAAGAGGAAGAAAGAGAGAATTCATTTTGGAGACAATTAGTAGTCTCTGTCACAAATAGCTGCATTTACTTGTTAAGTACCCACCATTTATTGACTCTGCTATACTAGGTACTGTCTTTTATGCAACAAAAATAAGAAAACAAGGGTTCTTGAAATTGAATTGAAATTCATAGAAGAAAGACATTTAAAAATTTCTAGCATTGTTTTTCCTCTCTCCCTCTGTATAGGAATCAGTTTTTGCTGCCGTAACAAATAAAATCTTAGCAGCTCCAACAAACATTTATTTCCTCCTACTAGGCTATGGGTTGGCTGGGGCCCAGCTGGGTTCGGGTTCAGGTCTGCCCCACATGTCTGTCATTAAAGGGTCCAGGCTAAAGGAGCAGCAGCCACCTAGGGCACATGGGTCTCCTGACGATGGCAGAAAGCAAGAGTCTGAGTTCCACTGGGCATGCCCAATGGATCTCCATGGAGATCACTCACTTCACATCCGGTAACAGTCCATGGGCCACAGCAAGTCACGTGGGTAAGCCCACTGTGAGTGCAGGGGAAGTGCATACCCATCCAGGAATGGGGAGGATGGTTATTTGCTGAACCATAATACATCCTCCCACCACTTCTGACTTTTGAAGTTTCAACTGCAGAATGCTTTCCTTCCCTGACCTCACTGCCCCATAAGTTCCAACAGAAAGAGCTGGTAGAAAGTGAGCCCCAAAGTAGGCCTGCACAAGGGCCAATTCCCACTTCCCTCAGCAGTTTACTTGTTCTGCATGTACTAGACCCCCGGCCTCTGTGTGGCCTGTGCCCACTGCCTGGCCCTGGGCCACCAGCAGGGAGGAGATGTGCGCTGGGACACTGGGGAGGAATCTCTGAGGGCCGAGACAGAAGGGCAGCCTGGAGCCAAGAGAAGGGACAGGTCACTCATGTCTGGGAAATCAGGCGAGGCTTTGTGGAGCAGGTGGCCTCTGAGCCGGGCCTCTGAAGGATGGATAGGGTTTCTGCAGGTGGCTGTGGGCCCCTGGGTACAATGGTGTTTAAGTTGGCTTAGTAGAACGATGTGCTTTAAAAATCTGCCCTAATCATCCCATTTCTCCTAAGCTTGAGTCTGAGTGGCGTGACAAAGGTAGATGCTTCCCAAGGCCTCCCAGCACTTCCAGCTTGCCCTGTTTATACGTTTACTGAAGGCGCTCCTAAGTCTGACCTCCTCAGAATCTAACCATGAGGAGCCAGTGTGTCTCAGGGCCACTCTTGGGAGATATGTGCCTCTTCCCCCTTCCCTTCTGGCCCGTCCCTCGCCACGTGCCTGTGCAGAGGGCAGACGTTTAGACCCCTCTCTTCACGAGAGGGACCTCGATTGTCCTGTCTCTTCATAGCCCCAGGCCACATACCCACCTTAGCGTGGTCTGCCATGCTCTGTCAGATCCAAGATGGCTCTTGTCTTATCTTTTCTGAGGGCTCGCTGTAAATATGAATATTCCTGAGACACCCAAAGTGATCTAGAGCTATAAGGGACAAAACCAAACATTTAAGTCAGTGAATTAAGGTAGCAGAAGAGAGCAAGACAGAACCATTTGTTTTTGCAAAGTGATTTTTCACCCTCAGTTCTCCTTAAGTAGGTTATGGCATATACCTGGCATACAGCTAAAACACAAAAATAGATTTTGCTAGTATCTAAGAACCGCTTGAAGGCCCAGGTTCCAGAGGATGAGAAACCCAGGAACACTTCTTAAAATACAAGCCTAGATGAATGCTGCTGCTTCTCCTCACTTCCCTGGGGAAGCACTGTCTCTCCAGCTGAAGGGAAGCAATGCTCTGTTTGGGGTTTTGCTGAACGTTGAATATGCACCAGCTCCTGGAAGGTGTGGCCTGCTGGGCTCGCTGTGCAGTGCACAGTGAGTGTTCTGCCTTCTACTCTGACATGCCACTATTTTTGTATTTCTAATGTTACGTATTTTTAAGGTGAGGGAGACCCTGGCTGCAGAGACAGGGCTGAGCGTCCGTGTGGTTCAGGTGTGGTTCCAGAACCAGAGAGCTAAGGTAATCTGCCTCTTACTTCTGTCTCTGTGTGGCCGGTTTCCTGAAATAATAGTAGAATGTTGTCCTTCCCCACAAATTTTCTAACTTCAATTCATTGGATAGACTAGTTCTCTCAATTCAGAAAGTCTATGATGGGCAATCATTTCAGCCACAGCATACTTGCAGAAGGGCATTTGTTCTAGTGGGATGGTGTTATTTTCCTCGTGATTGTGACTGTCAGTCATTTTCATGAAGAAATACCTTTCTGTGTCTTTTGGTAAAAGCAGGTTCTTTGATTCCTATTCATTTAACCCAGATGCCAGAGTACCTTTGAGATTTCAGAGGGAAGCCAATATAGCACCCATATGATTGGTCTAAGACAACATCATGGCACATGGAATGGATGGCCTAACTCACCTTTCCTAGGGCCCCACCTGTCCCTGTTATATAGTCATATTGTCTAACGCATCCTACCAAAGTGTGCATGCCCCTGCCGTGGTCTCTCGCTGACCTTAGACCTTTACCTGTTTATCTTCCTACCTGTACACGTGCATGTGTTGGGCTTCCCAGGGGCTCAGTGGTAAAGAATCTGCCTGCCAATGTAGGAGACGCAGGAGATGTGGATTTGATCCCTGGATTGGGAAGATTCCCTGAAGGAAGAAATGGTGACTCACTCCAGTATTCTTGCCTGGAAAACTCCATGGTCAGAGGAGCTTGGTGGGCTATTGCCCAAGGTGTTGCAAGGGTTGGATATGACTGAGCACACACACACACACACACACACACATGTGTTAGTGGCCCATTTTTCTAGACCTCTAATCTTTAGTGGGTGATGGATTCGTATCTCATTAGCTGATCGTGATTGGTTAAGATACCATTTCCCTAACTGAATTACTCAGACTGGGCTTCTGGTGTGTAGTCCATGGTCTTTTCTATGAAAGAATTTCATAGTTCAATAGGTTTGAGAGAACCTATAGCCTATGTATTCATAAGCAGGGAACATATTCGAAGTTCTGAGAAATCTTGCAGTAAAGAAGTTTTTAAAAAATCCAATGTTCCCTACACACACACACACACACACTCAACCACCTGAAGGCCCAATTTCCAGAGGATGAGAAACCCAGGAACACTTCTTGAAATACATACCTAAATGTATGCTTATTCTTCTCTTCATTTACCTGGGGAATGAAGGTTTACCTAATGTTCCCTACACACACACACACACGCACACACACCAAGGATCTCATGGTACCCTAATGTTCCACAGAAGACACTTTGAGAAAGATTGAGTTGATGTGTTCCTTCTGGGAAGTTAGTGTGCTAACAGGGTGCTCTGGGAGACAAGCTCCTTACCTAAAGGCATGCATCTGCTGGTAGGAGTCTCTGCCCCAGGGGCCAGGGGGTGGGGCGGCCTCTTGGCCCATGCCAGATCACAGCTGTCAGCAGGCCCTCACTGCACAGCTACGCTGGGCTGCAGACTGCACGTGCCTGTCTTATACCTCACAGCAAACTGTGACGCCATCAGCAGCAGGTTTTATGTGCTGAGAGGGCATCCCTGTTCCTGCTAAGAGCAGCTGCCCTGTGGCTTCCTAGCCAGCTGTCTTTCCACGGTGTAGAAATCCCTCATTCGGCATGCATCAGGCTCAAGGGGCCGTTCCTGAAACGTGGATTCTCTCCTGAGTAAAAGCTAGGGAAGGGGTCCCTCTGCTTTCCCCCTGAGCCAACTCCCCCTGGCCTAGCTGTGAGAACCTGCTGCAGGCCGCCTGACTTCTGATCCTGAGTTCTCGCCTCCCCAGATGAAGAAGCTGGCCCGGCGGCAGCAGCAGCAGCAGCAAGATCAGCAGAACACCCAGAGGCTGAGTTCCGGTAAGCTGGCACCTCCCCCTGGCCGGGCTTCTCCTGCCCGGGGCTGCCGACCGCCTGCCCTTGGATGGCATCTCTGGGCTCCCTGAAGCCCAGCCCACACTCACTTGGGAGAAGGGGCCTTCCAGGGAGGACCAAACCATGGGAACTGTGAGTGCAGAGGGCGCCGGCTGAAGGCCCAGAGCTGTGGCTCAGAGGTGGCACTAACCGAGTCCAAAGCCCACTTGGCAGATCCTGCTGTGGTACCCGGGCCTGCGTCGGGGCCTACCTGCAGAGTCAAGGGCACGCCCAGCTTCTCATCCAGCCGGGCCCTGCTTCTCGGCAAATCAGTTTCATAGAAGACACCACAGTGACGTGCAATCCTTTCCAAAATACTATGAAAGAGTAAAAATAATGATAGTGGGGAAAAAGAACACTCCCAGGTTGAGCACTTTGCTCTCATGCTGACCTGATTCACAGCCACCAACCCCCACGGTGAGCAGAGGAGTTATTAATGTTTCCATCTTACAGATGAACAGAGGCTCTGCAAGATGGACCACAATCCTCGATCAGTGAAGGATGGAGTTGGGCTGGAACCAGTCTCTCTAAGGCCCACTTGGTCACGCTGCCTTAACTCGCCCTTACCTCCATGTACCTTCATTTGTTGGTTTTTAATAGGGGCAATGTGAGGATTGGGGAGCATGTGAAACAGGACAAGCTGTGGGACCCTTTAAGGAAGTTAAGAGAAAAAAAAGCAAGAATGACTATATCATTCTTAACAGGATACGCCCCCAGCCTCAGCTGTCCAGCAGAATTTCCTGAGTGGTCTGTTTGTGCCCTGGAGCAGGGATTCTCACCCTTTCTGATGTACCGAAACCACTTGGGGTTTGGAATAGATTCTGATTCTTGAGACTATGGTGGGCCTGAAGAGTCTGCACTTGCAATAAATGCTCATTCGTGCCAGCCTGTGGGCCACACTTGGAAGGCTGTGGAAAGTGACATTGGTTGTCTGGCCCCTAAACAGAGCTCCTTCCCTTCATGGACCTTGCCTTATGCTTGATGCCAGGGCTAGGCTCCGTCAAGAATTTGATTTTCCCAGTTAAGAGTTCTTTCTATACCTTTGAGGCCAAATTATATCTTAATGACAAGAGAGATGCTCTTGTAGAAAAATCAAGCAAGAACATGGGCAGCTTGGGCAGGGTGGAGCCAAGCTGGTCAGGAGACCTGAATTTGCCCCGGGTCTACGTGCAGTGCTGTTTGGAGATCTGACACCTGCCGTTCCGTCTCTTTGCACCTCGGGCTTGCGTCCCTAGGGTAGGCTAGTGCTGTCTGATAGTGCAGTCACACAGCCCTGGGGGCCTCAGAGAGGGTCACAGATCAGACAGGACCTCAGGAGGAGCCACGCAAGCTGAGTCATACAGGCCAGCGCGCTCAAAGGGAGGGGAAGGCATCATGGCGTTATGAGAACACAGACTCCTAGTGCCGGGACTTTGAAGAATTCTATGGGCAGTTCCTAGGGTAGACTTAACAAGGTGGAACTAGAGTCTCTGAGAGTTAATGCAACCACGTTCAGAGAACCACAGCAGGAAGTGGAAGGAGGAACTGAGTCCTTCTTTTCTGATAAAATTGTGTACACAGCAGAGCAAGTTGCAGACCCAAAGCACATACCCACCATCTCATGGAGCCTTCATATCAGCTCCACAAGGTCCCCTGGATCCATACGATGAACCCCACTTGACTGATAGGATCCTAGTGGGGTGACACTGGAAGCATCTTTAGACGTGTCTACTCCATTGGCTGCCAAGCCTGTGTGTAGCATCAAATGCCTTTGTCTTAATGATATGGTTCAAGGAAGCTCTCCAAGTACAACACTCATCCTGCAGCTCTATCCTTTGGCATAATCGTTGGTGGCCCATGGTAGGGCACAAGCTAGGAACCACTGATGTCACCTCATCCCTTCCCTTCTGTAAATGACGAAAGTAAAATAATGTCGCCATGTCCACACAACGTGTGTGGTCCCCAGCCAGTGGGGCACGTGAAGTTCAGAGCTTGTTCAGAGGCCCTGCCCCACCTTCAGCATGAGATACTGGGCTGTACATGGAGAACTATTTATCTTCTTCTTTGTCCCACAGCTCAGACAAATAGTGGTGGGAATGCTGGCATGGAAGGGATCATGAACCCCTACACGGCTCTGCCCACCCCACAGCAGCTCCTGGCCATCGAGCAGAGTGTCTACAGCTCAGATCCCTTCCGACAGGGGCTCACCCCACCCCAGATGCCTGGAGACCACATGCACCCCTATGGTAAGAGGGACTCAAGCCCCGCAGGGACCTCGCACAGCTTGCTTGCGTGAGTTTTTCACCCCCTCCCAGTCCCCCTCTCTATGTAGTTCCTAGTTGCTCATTAAAGTTCCAAAGCAGAATAAGTGTCCCACAAAATACTGCTACAATCACATAGCCTATGGCTCCAGAAGTAAGACCAGTATGCATGTCCATGAGTCGTGTTTCCATTTATTCTCCTTTTTCAAAGCTTTTTATTTGTTTGAAAAGGAGGTTGTGTTTTCCTTTTTTGTGTAGACATTTTTGTTGGGATTTAACTTCCCAAGTCTTCATTTCATGCCAGATACCACACTTCCGGGAGCAGGAAATGGCAACCTACTCCAGTATTCTTGTCTGGAGAATTCCTTGAACAGAGGAGCCTGGCAGGTGATAGTCTCTGAGGTCGCAGAGTCAGTCATGGCTGATCAGTTAAGTACATACATACACACTTCCCTTCCTGTGGCACATTTTCACGCCAGGTGCCACACTCGTGCAGTGCATGGGACCCACGTGTGATCCCTGAGTCAAGGAGAGCCCTGGAGAAGGGAATGGCTACCCACTCCAGTGTTCTTGCCTGGAGTATTTCATGAACAGAGGGGCCTGGTGAGCTTCAGTCCCGGGCGTCACAAAGAGTTGGACACGACTGAGCGACTAACACTATCACTTTCACCACACTTACAAGTTCATAAGCATTATCAGCAGTGATACAGTCAGGGGCCTTAATTATGCAAACTCTTACATAGGAAAGAATACATAGAAAAGCACAGAAAAAAAAAGGTTCTAATTGTACTCTCCTATTATGGATACTAGTAGGTATTCTCATGTAATTCCTAGAACATAAGCTGACTTGTGAAGTAAAGTCCCAGTCCCACTGCAGCCAAAATGGGGTTGCTTTAAAGGCAGGGTGTGGGGGCAGCTGAGATTCTCCCACTTTCCTGGCTTGCTTCTGAAGCCAGTGGACAGCAGCTGGGGCCTGGATGCCCTGATGGAGTGGGCAGGCTTTAGAGTTGAAGGCTGAAGTTCAATCTTAGAGTCAAATTTAGGCCACTGGGTTTTTATACAGAGAAGGTATATGGCCTATGTAATGCATTTGCCTGTACTGTGAAATCTGTAGTCCAGTAACCCTGACAGCTAAAAATAAAGTTTTATACAGTAAGCCTTCAAAATGTTAGTATCAGAGATACATGCCTCAGTGCACAGATTTTGTCAACTTCTTTTTTGCCTTCATTATAAAATTAGCTATATTGTTGAAATCAGCCCTATCTTTCCCTGTGATGCGTTCAGCAAATATTTATTAAGATAATAATATTTATTATTATCCAGTCACTTGCAGGGCCACCATTGACTAACCTCATTCATTCATACACACGTAGATATATATGCATGTGCTCAGTGACAGCCATCCCCTTTGTTTCCTGAGAAGACACATCTATGCCTGTCTTCACTGCTATGCAAAAACAGGAAAAATAGCTCTGGTTTTTTTTTTTGCCAATTCATACATTTTCAGAGTCCTAGGGGTCTTGTTACATAAATTGCTCCTGTGATGAATCCTTTAGTAAAATGAATAATTAAAGCCACATGACGAGTTTTATAAACAGCAGTTTTCTCTCTCCCACTTACTTGAAGCAGAGGTGAAATGTCCACGCCTCAAGCTTCTGGTCACAGCGGTCCCCCAGCTCTTCCTCAATTTGCCCTCCCAGTTTCATTGTCAAAGGTTTCACTAGTTGAGTGTGGACACCTAACCTTCCTCTCCTTTGCAGCACAAATCTGGGGAAAGAGCTGGCATTCAGTATGCTTGTGCTGTTTGAAAGGACAAGTGTTATCGCCAGTGGTTTCGTGAGCATCCTTCACAGAGTCGCTGTTCGTTTTCTTACCCTCCCTCCTGCAAGAACCTTTTCTGTGGCCGGAGTCTTCTAGAAGCCCTGCGCCTGTGTCTGCAGCCTGCGGCGCTGGGTCCCGCCCACTCCGCACCTCCAGTGTCTAAACACTCTGACGTTTGCTTATGCTGCGCTCCGTTAGCCCTCCTTTGTCAGATCCTAGTTTACCTTATTTTCAGTTGTTACACGTTAGACATAACCCTCTGAGGAGGTCTTTGGTGGGCAGGGGTTATGCCCCCTCCTGCTCTTCTATGTAGCTCTCCCGTCACCCCCAGCACTCCCCCTTCCCAGCGCCCAGTAGAAGTGGGGACGGGGTGGTGTGCCTAGACCGCGCAGGCCGAATTCAGCTGAATGCCCCAGCTTCGAATGAGTCCCTCCTTCTGGACCTTCATGGAGTGTTTCGTCTCCGTTTCAGGTGCTGAGCCCCTCTTCCACGAGCTGGATAGTGAGGACACCTCCCTCAGTAACCTGGGTGACTGTTTCCTAGCAACCTCAGAAGCCGGGCCCCTGCAGTCCAGAGTGGGAAACCCCATTGATCATCTGTACTCCATGCAGAATTCTTACTTCACCTCTTGAGTCCTCCCCTTGAATTCTGTGGCTCAGCTCCCATTCTGGAACAACTGTATTACGTGAGGGGTCGACTGGCTTTAGTATGGGGAGGCAGGGAAGAGGTGGGGTGGGTGGGAGTTCTGTTGGGGATGCTGTTGTATAATGATATGGTGTAGCTTGGCATTTCCAAAGACTGAATACATTACGGATTGCATAGTTTAATGTTTCTAATAAGAGTCTTAGTGTTAGGTACGAAAATGTGTTTATCATTAAGGACAGGGACTTTTAATATAGGCATTTTCATGCAAACTAGATACTAGAGACCCCTAGCAACTTCCCACCATTTTGGGGGAAATCTCTTGTCAAGAGGTGCATATGTCTACCCATCCACACACCCATAGGCAGACAGACGGATAGATAGATGTGTGCGTGAGTGTGTAACCTTTCATACTTTATCATCAAAGTTTATTCCTGATTATGACAGACACCAATTGTACAGCAAAAAGTAACTTTATTTTCAGTGTGAACTATATTTAAGGAAATGCTTGATGCACTTAAGTTATAAAATGAGATAATTTACTTTTATAAACTTTATTTTGAGTTTGAAGAGACTTGTGGGCAGGGCAGAGAGCGCCGCTCCACTGAGGCCCGTAGCTTTGAGTGCTTGAGTTAATTCTGTTTTCAGAGAGTGTTGTTGAGGTCTGGAAAGCAATTACCCTGTGTGGCTGACAGTATTTACTGGTGGATTCTTGCTCTGTTTGAGGTGGAATCAATCACTGGGCTTGGGGGGGGGGGGGATGGGCAGAACAATTCCTGATCATTAGGAAATTTAAAGCCTAGACTCTTTGGCTTTCTTTGAAATTCAGACATGTGACTGTTGGGAAGTCACACGACTAGGAAGTTGACTAGGAAAGTCAATTCTGCTCTTGAACTTCACCATCTGCAAGTGTGGGATGAGGCTGATAGTATTTACCTACCTCACTGGGGACACTGAGGCTTAATTCAACCCCAGGACACATGAGCAAGGCTGAGACTAATATCTATACTTGCTTAAAATCCAACCAACCAGCCACTTGGCAAAGGAGGGTACCTGGGCCTATATGGCAGGAGCCTGAGGGCAACCCTGCCTGCCATAGTACCCCCTGCAAGCCTGGGCTGCACATACTACATCAGGGCAGCCCGGGGACTAGAGGCTTTCGATAGGGAGGAAGCTGTGACGAACGGGTTGGACAGGTTATTATCATGTTTTAGACCAGAGGTTGCAGCCTATAGGCCTGTATTTTACGGCCTGCCTCCTAAGAAGAGTTTTTATATTTTTAAAGGGTTGTAAAAAAGGGGAGGGGGGGAATATGCAACAGAATATATGTGAGCTGGAAAGCCTGAAATAGTTACTATCTGTAATATCTGGCTCTTTTCATGAAAAGTTGGCTGACCCATGGTCCAGATGCTCTTGGAGCTCATAGCTCGCAGCCTCTTGGAGCTCATAGAGGCAGAGGAGGTCCTGGTGGAAACCCAGGGCTCCTCCTCCTGGCTCTCTTTCCTGTTGCTGAGCACGGAGGACCCAGCTGCCATTGTACACAGGGACAGTTCCACACCCTGTCCATCACTGTGGTGCTAAGATGGGATCCTTCTGTGTTAGGAGGCCTCCTGAGAAACCAGAACAAGTTGATGGGGAAGGCGGAGGACTCCTCCGAGAGGGGCCGGGACAGGCTTGGCCTCACTCCTAGGGATGTCACCCGTCATCAGAGCTCTGGTCACCGCTGCTTGTCCCCATCACTGTCTGCAAGGCCAGAGGGAACACAGCTCCCTATGATAGAGTCACTGTTGTATGATTTTCGTGCTCTTTTTTTTATAATTTATGCAAACCACCGAGAAACCTAAACCAGTCTGCTGAGTGAAAATCATGCAGACACGCTATGACTACACAGGCGACTATGGTGAAGATCAGTTAGAGAAAAGTAGTGGATACTGTGTGAGTGAAGATGAATAGAGATCCTTATTCCACTCCTTAATGGCATACCAAGATCGAATTAAAGACCTCTTACAAATGAGCTGGTGTTTGTTTAGGGGCAGGGGTGGTTGGCAGGGGACTGGGGGGCCTGGATGTTTCGTCAGCAGTGGCTGAAGCTGCCCATGAAGGGAAAACCTGACCGAGTGACGACAGCAAACAGAAGGGGAAGGCCGCTTTCACCTTCCTGCCAAGGACTCAGAGGCCTCAGTCCTTGCAGTCGCCTCTCCAGGAGGAGCAACTGGGAACACTCCATCCTCCCAGCAAGTTCCCTCAAGGCAGGGCAGTCTGTGATATGCATTTGCTTGGAAATCAGAGCAGAGTCATGGGCAGGAGAAAGATTTCTCATGCAGGATTGCAGGCAGGTGCCTTGCCAGGATCAGGGTCAGAAAAACAGACAGTATGTCTCCCCTGATAGATTCTCCCCAAACCCTCAACAATTTTAAATATGATGTATGAATGGGCAAAGATTATGCTTATGGAGTAAAGAAGTCAGGAAACAGTATGGCTGGAAGACATAAGACACACTCAGAGGAGAGGTGGCATTGTTTTGAATATTCTTTCTACCCAATGCAGTATTCTTGGGCTTCCCTTGTAGCTCAGCTGGTAAAGAATCCACTTGCAATGCAGGAGACCTGGGTTTGATCCCTGAGTTGGGAAGATCCTCTGGAGAAGGGAAAATCTACCCATTCCAGTATTCTGGCCTGGAGAATTCCATGGACTGTGTAGTCCATGGGGTCACAAAGAGTCGGACATGACTGGGAGACTTTCACTTTCACCCCTGCAGTTGTTCAGCCCCTTCTGCCCCCCACCCTGGCTCATGCGCCCACCGTTAGATGCTGGCTCTGGTTCTCACTGAGGGTCTAGAAGGAGAGATTGGTGGGCACGTGGTACCCATCCAGGAAACGTCTATCTCAGACTGGCCTTGACTGGGCTGTCCTGGGTTTCATCTCCAGTTTCCAGACAGAGCTTAGGCATGAGACCTTCACCCCTCATGTTTGCCTACTTGGCATCCACTCATCCTTCAGCATCAGCCTAGACTTGGCTTCCTCAGAGAAGTCTGCAGGGCTGGGTTGCGTGCCTGCCTGTGTGGAGGAATTGGACTAACGCTACCAGCTATGACCACCCCTCCCAATTTTAGAATAGCTCTAACACAAGAGAAAGTTCTAGTTTTGCTCACATAAAAGCCTGGGAGGGGGTTTGTGTGAGAAGGGCACCTCTTTTCCATCCAAGATTCCACGGGAGATTGGTTGTTTCCTGTCTTCTTTTCTCCCCACTTGCAGCTGAACGTGGATATGTCTAGATCCAAATCCAGCTTCTCCCCTTCCTAACTGCATGGCTTTGGGCAAGTTACTTCCCCCCGCTTAGCCTCTGACCCCTCATCCTCAGGATGGGCCCGGCGCCTTTCCTCTACTGCAGAGGGGACGGTGAGGACCAGTGAGAAAGCTCACGCCAACAGCTGTCCTGGGCGTGCGTGTTAGCTGCTGTGCCAGGGACCAGACCCTGCTCTCATGGTCTGGTCGCTGAGGAGAGGCTCCTGGGAGTCTCAGGCCACATCCGAAGAAGGAAAGTGCACACTAGTTCACCGCAGGGGGAGGCTCCTGATCCCACCTCGGTGGAACTCCTTTTAATCTCAGCGAGGGTCTTCTCTAGCCTGCCTCAGCAGTTGCTGGGGGGGTTTGGTTTGTGTTTCAGACGCATGCAGATAAAATTCCAATTCCAAAGAAACATCAAGAACTCTGGCCCCCAAGGAGAAGCAGCCAGGTCATAGGTGACTTCTCCAGTCATCTTCCACTTGGGGCTGAGACGTTAGGGCTGAGATGAGAGTGAGAAGCAGACCCACAGGCTGAGTGGGAGAGTTCTGAGCTGACGCGACATGAGTGAAACATGGGGACAAGGTGGAATGAATTTGTCAATTCCAAATTCAAAGACAAAATAAATTTTTAACTGAACCTCAAGTAAAATCAAGGTGTTTCTCTCCTTCTCTCCCCTCTTCCATCTCCTTACATACAAATACAAATACAATACAATACAATCCAAATTGACCTGCAAACTGATATGATTTCACTAGAATAAAAACCAAATGAATACCTTGCTTTCCTTAATCCTTTTGTTTATTATGTTGCAATATTTCAATAACAAAAAAGAGTGAGCTATCTTTAGGGCTCAAAAAAAAGACCTTGTGATGTTTATGCTAAAACTATAGTCCCTCTACACAAGGATGATATAGAGATTCCCTAACCTTGAAGTTTGTGTAATATTTAAAGTTACCTAAAAGACCCTGATGCAGGGAAAGATTGAGGGCAGGAGGAGAAGGGGACGACAGAGGATGAGATGGTTGGATGGCATCACCAACTCAATGAACGTGGGTTTGGGTAGACTCTGGGAGTTGGTGATGGACAGGGAGGCCTGGCGTGCTGCGGTCCATGGTGTCACAAAGGGTCAGACACGACTGAGAGACTGAACTGAACTGAACTGAAATAACCTTAAGCAAGGCTCTGAGCCTTTATTTCTTCATCTGTGACATGGAGCCTGTCTTACAGGTTGGTCATGGAGAGCATCAAAGGAGATAATTAGGAAAGCTTTTTGTAGACCACGGGCTTTCCTGATAGCTCAGTTAGTAAAGAATCTGCCTGCAATGCAGGAGACCTCAGTTTGATTCCTGGGTCAGGAAGACCCACTGGAGAAGGGATAGGCTACCCACTCCAGTGGTTCTTGGGCTTCCCTTGTGGATAAACTGGAAAAGAATCCGCCTGCAATGAGGGAGACCTGGGTTTGATCCCTGGGTTGGGAAGATCCCCTGGAGAAGAGAAAGGCTACCGACTCTAGTATTCTGGCCTGGAGAATGCTATGGACTGTATAGTCCAAGGGGTCTCAAAGAGTTGGCTACAACTGAGCAATTTTCACTTTGTAGACTGCAAATGCTGTACAAACAGGAGGGCTTCTTAGTATCTTGTCTCAGGAAGCAACCACAGAGCGACCACTCGGGGGTCATGGTATCCACGGGAGCAGTGCTCCTCCTTGGGTGGATGCTCCCGGCAGGGATGGGCCTGAAGGAAAGCAGTGAATGGAGGATCAGAGTAAGATTATCTTATTTCCTCTCCCAGAAGCTGTGGATTACTTCTCCCACTGCCTGATGGGCCTTCTCCCCTCTAGCAGCAGATTTTGGCAAAAAAAAAAAAAAAAGGTGGCCCAACCCCTAGTGGATGGTGAGTTAGCTAATCTGCCAAATCTGCTCCATCACCCTGTGTGCCTAGAAAGGAAAAGGTGAAACCTGCCCCTGATTTGTGATGGAAATGACCCTCCCTAGATAGTTGTGCAACTGACTGCTCTGGCCCTTTGAGCACCTTATTTATTCATGTATTTAATTCACTCAGTAAACATTTACTGAGCATCTAGAATGTGGATGGGTCATAGAAATAGAGAGGAGCAGAGACATTGGCCCTGCCCTCATGGAGGTTACAACTTACTGGAGGAAATAACCACTAGTCATAAATGGTACTAATTTAACTTACACAGTATCAAGAGCCATCAAGAGGACCAGGAACCATAAGGAAGTAGAAAGCACGGAGGCATGACCTAGTCAGGAAGGTCAGGAAGGCTCTGTGACCCAGTGATGATGGAGCTGCGACTTTATTCATCTGTCCTTGTGCTTTCCCCCATCAAGTAAGCAGTTCTGCATCTCCTTCCTATAAGGGCATTAATATTTTAACTGCCATGGATGGAAAGAATCTGAGGAACTCATGCCCTCCAAGGTGTTTGCTGATAAGGTCTAAAGAAGCTGCTTATATTATCTTTAATGCAAAATGTCTTCAGTCAAAGGAGTGGACACTGTCGATCAACACTGTTTATTAAGCCTATTGTGGACATTTGCGCTTTCTGGCCGTCCAGCCTTCTTTCACTCTGCTGATAACATCACTCTGATTTCCTTCAGGGCTTTGACCTTTCTGCATGGAGTGGACTCTGAGACTATAACTCAGGGTGACTCCAGGCTGCTCTAACCAAGAAGCAGGGACGTACAGAGTTGGAAGCTTGTTCAGAGTTAGCTCACTTCTGAAGGTGCTCCCAATGAGATGGCCAAACAGTTCCTGCTGAGTGGACCCTGGAGTTGCCCTGCTGTCCATCTGTTGCCAAGACTTGGTTCCAGACACCTTATGATTCTGTGAGCAATCTTCTCTGATCTTCCAATAAGGACCCTTTTTGCTCAAGTTAGCCTGAGTTGGTTTCAGTTGCTTGCAGTCAAAAAGTCCTGACAAAAGCTTTGTTGTTACTGTTTAGTTGCAAAGTCATGTCCAACACTTTTGTGACCCCAAAGACTAGAACCTCCCTGGTTTCTCTGTCCAAGGGATTTCCCAGGCAAGAATATTGGAGTGATTTCCATTTCTTTCTCCAGGGGATCTTCCTGACCCAGGGATCAAACCTGCATCTCCTGCATTGGCAGGCAGGTTCTTTACCATTGAGCCACTAGGGAACTCCTTCTTACCTACAATTTGTGTAATATTTGACATGATATAAAGGGTGTCTGCTGTCCTTGCCACAACCTCTGGGTTAGCCTGGGCTGGTATTCCTTCCTTCCTTTTATTGATAAGAAACCTATAGCTCAGAGAAATTAAGCCCAAGGCTGTAGAGTTAGTTAGGATCAGAGTGCGGTTTCTAATTCATTCCTTCTGGCTTTTAGTTTTTTGCTGTTTCCCCAACCCTGACTTCTAAGTGTCAGAATACACAAATTTAGAAGTACACGCATGCCAGGGACAGTGAGAGGTATAGAGAATTATGATCTTTCCTCCTGCAAGGAGACTAGATGTACACACATTCAACGTTGTTGTTGTTGTTTAGTTGCTAAGTCATGTCTGACTCTTAGGCACCCCATGGA